CTCTCCTGTCCCCTTGTCCCCTCCTGGCGTGAGCTGGGAGCTCTGTCCTGTCACTTTATCTCTAAATAAAAGCCTCTTGCTTGCTCTCCTAAAAAAAAAAAAAAAAAACGGGCAGAAGGATCCAAACATTTTTCCAAAGAAGACATACAGAAGGCCAAAAGGTACATAAAAAGACGCTTCCCATCACTAACCATCAGGAAAATGCAAATGAAAACCGGTGAGCCATCACCTCACACCTGTCAGAAGGGCTATTATAAGAAAAGACAAGAAATACCAAGTGCTGGGGAGAATGTGGAGAAGAGGGGACCAGTTATAAAATAAGTGTAAGTTATAAAATAACTAAGTCATGAGGATGTAATTAATGTACAGTGTGGTGACTATAGTTCATAATACTGTTCTGCAATATTTATAAATTGGTAAGAGGTTAAAAGTCCTCATTAGGGGAATAAAAAGAATTTGGAACTATGTATGGTAACAGATGGTGACTAGACTTACTGTGGATGATCATTTCACAATGTGTACAATTATCACATCATGCTCTACACCAGAAACTAATATAATGTTATATATCAATTACACAATTTAAAAAAGTCTGAATTAAAAAAAGAAGAAAGGGTGATGTGCTTTCAGATGGGGAAAAAAATGGTAAGATGTGATTAAGACTAAAGGGAACTTTCTGAGGGGAAACAAACCTGTTTTAGGCTCTTGTATTCCTGGAGCTCTAGTTCTTCATTTTAAAAACTGTTTTATTGAGATATAAACTGCACACCATAAAATTACCCATGTGCAATTCAAATTTATCTCATGTATTTAGACTTGCACAACCTTCACCATAATCTAAATGTAGAAGCTTCTCATTATCCCCAGTAACCCTGTATTCAGACCAATTAGCAATCATTCCCAATTCCTGCCCCCAGCCCCCTGCAACCACGGGCCCTCGTGCTGTCTCTCTGGCTCTGCTCTGCGTGTCATACCTGATAGAATCGCGCATACGCGATCCGGCTCTGTGTCTGGCTTCTTTCATTTGGCCTGCTCTCCACGTTGCAGCATGTATTAACACTTCACTAATTTTTACTGCCAAATATATTCTAATATTTGGAGAGTCATTTAAAAAAACCCTTTGGAATCTCTTCAGACAGCTGGAAACCCTGGTCTGTACTCCATTTCTCCTTGTTGCTTTAGAACAAGTCCTGGCAGGTCTTGGAGTTCAGGCCTTTACTCCGCATGGGCCCAGGGGGAACCGCGCAGCCACGTTGGTAGCACCTGGTGCCTTGGAGGCTGTGTTTGGGGCCAGCCCATTGCCCCGGGTTCTGGGCCATAAACACGTGGCTCTGGCGCCACTCTGACCGTTAGAGAGACTTCTTGAGACGGATGCCTAATAGGGGGTTGTCTGCTCCTGGGCTGTGTGAACCCTGAGGCAGACGCTAAGACTCACAGCACTGCACGTCAGCTCTTAAATGGAAACCTTTATCCTCCGATCAATAAGCCAGAAGGCCAAGAATCAGAGGCTGTCAGAATAGAGGGGCAGTTAGGCCTGGAGCTACGTTTGCTTTTGACTCTATAATCATTTTTCTAAATATTAAAAGCTCATTGTCACTGGGCCGACTGTTCAGCAGAGAGCTACTTTCCATAAAAAGCCGCATGAAAGGCCTGGCGAGGAGAAGTCCGCCTGGAGCCTGTCCTGGCTTTGCGGGCAACGGGGAGCACTGCTGGGAGCCAGGCCTCAGGGCCTGGCTCGGGAGGGGCCCCTCGTCCCCTTCGGCCCCTGCAGGCCCAGCTTCTCGGCTGTGTGACCACGGCCAGCGCCTGTCCCTGGGCTGCTGCGATGACCGAATCATCGGCTCCAGCTGGACAGGCAGTAAGCGCTCCCACTGTCATTATCTCAACTCGAATCTGAGAGACATTCCAGGCAAGTAAGTGTGCTCAGCTGGCCGTGACTTTCAGGATAACTTTCCAGGTGAGCCCAAGGGTCCTGGGGGAGCAGAGGCCCAGTCCTGACCTCTAGGCCACTGCAGGGCCCATCTGGCGGCTGGGAGCCTGCACCCGACTTCCCGGAGCCCCTGCCCACGGGTCTGTGCCCCGGCCTCTGCAGCAACGGGGCCCAGCCAGGTCCTGGCAGTCATTCCAACAGTGAGGACGGCGCTCGATTCCCACCCAGCCTCTCTTTCGGGGACTGTGATGCTGTAATTCATAGTAGGAAATATAAGCCTGGTCTTCTCCCGGCTCCCAGCTCCCAGCTCCCGCCCCCTGGGCTTTCCTGAGCAGAAGGACCCCGGAAGCACGTCTGATACAGTGGTTGCTCTTTCGTCCTGGACCCCAGAAGCCCTTCCCACCAGACCCGAGTTGTTTCAGTGAGATGATCTCTGGAGAGCCCGGGCAGCCACAGGTGGGGGCCGCGCGCCAGGGGGAACTGCCGTGAAATCAGAGGCCGGAACGTCCAGCCCCCCCCCACCCCCATGAAATGGTCTCAGGGAACCGAGCCCCCAGCTTGGGGGCACCAACACTTCCTCCGGGCGGGTCATGTGGACCTGAGTCAAACTGCAGGACACCAGGGGTAAACGGAGACTTGCCTGGTGTGCGACACACCCGCCGCGCACCTGGGGGCAGAGCCTCTTCCACACACACCGGTCCATTGCGCCTTCCGTCTCACGGTCTGCAAGTGAGCCACGCCAAAACGGCTCTACCAGACATCACACACCCGGGCATGGCCCCAACATGCTCACCTTGGGGGACTCTGCGTTTACATGGTGACGTTGCTGTAATTCCACATTTCTGCAGGTTCCCTTTTGGAGCTGGTGCATTAAAACTCACCCCAAGGGCACTGTCCCAGTATGAACCACGTCTGCCTTCCCATGGCTCTGAAATGGCTCTAAAAAGCAAATCCATCCCGAAACAATGACCTGAGCCGCATGTGCAGAGTTCTTAGAGTTAAAGCTAAAACCACATGCGTGACTTTTAACACTGTCTTGGTGGGGAAACTCTTCTAATATGACACATAAAACCCGAAGTCATCAAGTCATCAAGTAAGACATAGTCATATAAAAATGTCATAAATTGGATACATAAAAATAGTGAAATCATGCACTGAAAAAACCCACCAGGGTCAAACAGCAATAATGAAATGGGGAAAAGCTTGCCACACATGCTATCACCGTGGCTAATTTCCTTCATATATAAAAATCTCCTAAGATCAATAACACAATGGTCAGAATCTTACAGAAAAATTGGCAAGGGACACAAACAGATGTTTCATAGGAAAAGAAATACTCTGACACGTACCTACAAGACGCATTGAGTCAGCACCTGGTAAACCTGCATCAGTGTTTTATCTGCCCGAGCAGCAGGGCGCTGTGACCTCACCGGTGAGGACCAGGGGCCTGCGGGGCCGAAGGGGAACAGGGACACAACCTAAAACACCCCTGTCCTTGGATCAGGCAACATCAGGGCGGCTCCAGCACGCGCACGAGGGATTGGAAACAACCTGATCCCACAGGGACCATCACCCACACTTGGGAACCTCAGCAGCGTCCGCAGAGCCTGGCCACTTGGCGTGGGCTGACAGCTGGGTGTTCTGACTCCAGGAAGGTGCAGGGCCCGAGGGCCGAGGCGGTGTGCAGGGTGTGCAAGGAGAACAGACACAAAGATGCACGGGTCCTCTGTGGGGGGGACACGTACGGGGCTGAGACTCATGCTATCTCCCCTTAGCAACTCCTACGACATGTTAGATGTGGACCCGTAGCTACTTCCAACAAAAGACAAGCGCCTACTTTATAATCACAAAAGACACTCAGAGTGAAGTGACTTGCATATTTTGCAGGGCCCAAAATATTCCATGACTTATTTGGAGATCTTCTGGGAACCTTCCAGTTGTTTACTTTTCAGATGTGAGATCAGGAACCCATAAATGGACCCAGTCAATTTTCATTTTACCTTCATGCATTTTGGATTCCTTGCCTCTGGAGTTGTCTAAATATTTACACTATGAAGATACTGTGGACGGAGAGGGCTGGAGGACCCTGCCAGGTCACGTGGGGAGGTGTGGGGCCGAAGCTGGGTTTCCATGCCCTGATCCAGTGGGCGCTGCCTGGCTTGGGTGCCCCTGGGGTCATGTATTTACGGGAGCACCTTTCCTTTGCAGCTGGCACCCCTCCAGCCCTCTGCCCCGAGGCTGCAGATGTGGGGAAACCACTGGGCAGAGGAATGCTGGCTCCAGCTTGCCAGCGGTGTCATGGGGAACACCCTCCAGCCTCCGGACTTGCAGCAGCAATGATCGCCCCACTCAGACCAGGTCAGGACACTCAGGAGAGGGGGGAGCACCTGAGAAGCCCACGGGCCCAGCCCTTCTCCAACGTCAGACTCACATTCGGACCCCTCTCCTGCCTCCACCCCTGGAAGCTGAGGCTCTGGTGGGTAAGGAGTAAAGCTGTGCCCTCACCTTTCCCGCATAGCCCTCTCTCCCCTGACGCCTCCATCCGGCAGGCCTCAGCAGTCATGGCTGCTCTGGCCCTGCTGCGGCTCTGGGAGGGCCAGTGCCCACCCTGTGCCCCCTGCTGTCAGGGAGTCTTGGGGGCTGCAAGGACCGAGAGCTTGGGTGTGGGGTCTGACAGGTCTTTATGGAGCATGCAACCCCTTTCCGACTGTCCCAGGTTGAAGCCAGATCCTCGCCAAACACCGTGCAAGCAGGGGCTTGGTGCTCCCTGGGGGGCACCCTGCCACTGGAGGTGATGTGCTCAGAGCCCAGCACGTGCTGTGGGTCCCAGTCCCAGGCGGGGAGAGCTCTGCCCTGCAGACAGCTGGGAAGGCGGGGGCTCCAAAGAGCCTGTCAGCGACAGGGACGCCAGCAGTTCCAAGACTGCCAACAGGGCTCGACACCCCCGTCACCGTGACCTGCTGCCACTTGTGGCCCCACACGGGCAGTCTTCTGTTTAACTTCAGGGAACAGGGCCCTCGGGTGGTCCCTGATGTCGCTGGCATCCCTCTGAGGAATCGCAGAGCAGACACCCTGGTAAACCCTTTATTTTGGGTGGAACGCACGAGGTTCAGCTTATTATGCAGACTGTAGGTTCACTGCAGAGATGCTGGGGCTCAGCCAGGTTGGGGGGCCGAGTCCGTGCCCCGGGGAGCCCCTGGGATGGCAGTGGCCCCAGATGCCAGCGGAGCCATGCGAGGGCGGGTCCGGGGACGGACGCATGGGGCTGCCAGGCACAGCTGGCTCCTGGCAGCAGGGCGTGCCCGGTCAGACCACAGCCGGTGTGCGGGCTCGGCCCGGCTCCGCAGCCTCACTCGGCGGCACAGACACGAGCACTTCACAGCGGCTCCCCCACACCCGGGCTCCTCCGAAGAGCTGGGCCCGGCACAGGGGGTCTGTCCCCAGCCCTCCTGCTTGGGGGCCCGGAGCCGCCCAGCACCTGAGGTGGCAGCCCTCTGGGCGGCTCCACACGCCCACACCTAGGACCGACACGCGTGCGGCCGGAGCTCACGGCGTCCCGCCTACCCCCTGGCCCAGAGGGCGCCAGGGTCCCCATGTGGCTCGTCCCCAGCAGCCAGGGCACGCTGTGCAAGCCCCCCAACCACCCGGGGAGTCTGCCTAGGGATGGGGGAGGGACCAGACGGGGGCCTGGAGATAAGACCCCATTGGAGATGCAGCCCCAGCCCTGCAGCGGGATAGTTGGGGGGGCGGCGGCAGCCCGGCCTTGGTGTGCCCCCTGCCTGGGCCGGAGCTCGGCCACCCAGAGCCTAGGCGGTCAGGATGGGTGCTGGGCCTGGGCTGCACTCCAGCCCTCTGCCCATGCAGGGGCGAGTCCGCAAGGTCGAAGGGAGGTGTTAGGCCTGAGCTGTGGCCTCCTCGTGACAGGGTGGGACCCCAGAAGGGCCTGTTCCCAAGGAGGAAGAACCACCCCCCTGTGGGGACGGCGGGGGCAGCACAGCCACTACAAGGTCAGATGCTTCCGTCTGTCCAGGGACTCGATGTGATGAAGAGAGGCCCCCAGGGCCCAGCTGGTCTCCACATTGTCGATTTTCCGAGTCAGCTTGAAAAGACAAGATGGGGCAGTGAGGTCTGATTGGGAGGCTGTCAGCGGCGTCCGGTTCCCCAGACCCTGCAGGGCACAGGGGCACCCCGAGAGCAGCCCTCACCTGGAGCACCTTGCTCTCTGGGAAGCCAAACTGTTGGAGAAGCAGGCTGACGTAGGTGAGGTCCATGCACGCAAAGGGGTTGCCCAGCGGCTTGGTCCCCGCCGTCCGGCACACTGGGGGAGGCAGCAGGTTCCCAGTTAGGTTCCAGGTGGCCACGCCAGTTGCCCACCCAGTGCCAGGCTCTGTGCCTGCCCCAGCAGGTGGAAATGACCCAGACAGGACCCCGCTCGGAGAAGGAGGGCCGTGGCAGGAGCAGGCCAAGGGGCAGGGTCCCGAGGCCCACCCGCCCCACCCGGCTCGGCCTCCAGGGCAAGAGGGGTGTCTCCCTTGCGTGTGGGTGCCACAGGAGGAGCCCGCGGCCTCACAGGCCACACCTCTGTGCCCGGGACCTGTGTCCTCCCCCGGAGTGGGAACACGGGGGTTCGCTCAGGAAAGCCCACCCTCTCCTCCAGGGGGCAGCTAGCCTGGAACCCTGCTGGGAACCTTTGTCTGAGGGTCACCCCGAACCATGGGACAAACCCGGGAATGACAACTTAAAAGAGAGGTACTTCAGAGAAGGGGAGGGGCTTCCTGTGGGGACACAGACAGTCGGCCCCCCGGCCTGCAGCTGGGAAGGCAGCCAGGCGGGTGGGGCGCTGGCGGGAGCCTCTGCTCCCAGCGGGTAGGCTGGGGGAGGACGGAGGTCCCCGGCTCCTTGGGTCACAGCTGAGGGTTCGCTGAGACACCTTCAGGGGAATCACTCTCGGAGTGAAAGGGTGCCACAGAAAGCGAGATCAAGGGCCCTGCTCCCAACAGCCCCGGGAGTAGAGCATGCCCTCTCCCAGATGGACACCGAGGCGCCGGGCCCTGCGGCCACGCGGGCCATGGCAGACCTGCAGTCTGAGCCAGCATGCTGACCAGGGACATGCACGGTCACAACCTCTCGCCTCTGGGTGCGGATCTGGGGGCGCTGGGAGCCCTGCCGGGGCTTTGGGGCCGGGCTGCCTCGGGCACAGTGACCTGCGTGCCCTGGGAGGGCCCTCGTCTGCTGGCCCCAAGCTGCGCTGCCACCACTCACCGAACTTGGCCGCGATGTCAAAGTCCCCGACAGCGAGGCTGCCTCCCTTCTCCGCATCTGGGGGGCGAGAGCGAGCACCCAGTCTGCACCCTCAACGCAGAAGCAGCGAGGCCGGCGAGGCCCCAGAGAGAGGCTGAGGCTGGGCCCTGGGCGGGTCAGCCCCCGGGGCGGGCAGGTTCTGCAAGGCTGGGGCCTTAGAGCACCCCCAGAGGAAACTCATCCTGGGCCCCACATTGAGCAAACTCTTAATTTTAAGTTAAAGAAATAAAAGCACAGGATTGGAAAGTTTTCTGAAGCTGTGGTGCAGCAATGGAATCCTGGTGTCTATCTCCTGAGTGTGAAAAAGTTCTGTAAAAAAAGTGAGGCGTGGTGCTGGATCTTGGAACAAACAGGCAGAGCCTCCACAGGGCGCCCCAGAAGGGAGCTGCCTAGGACTGTGAGCCCCTCCCGGGAGGGAGGCACAAAGCACTGTGCCCCCACCTTCAGGGATGGCAGCTTCAGTGCACCCCAGCACCTCTACAACTGACAGAGGGTCCCAGGGCGTCCGGCACACTCATGTGGCCTGTGGCTGCTGCCCAGTGTGCTGGAAAAGGAAGCCCCCTGACTTTCCCTTGACCTGGGGGTTTGCTCCAAGCCCCTTTCTGAAAACAGACCCAAGCTGCTCTCAGAGGCACACTGACCACAGCCGGGAGCCAGAGCAGGTTTTCTGAGGATCCCGGCAGGTCCTGAGGCCCCCCGGGGAAGAGGCTGGTCCCCTGTGCCTGGGTGAGGGGCCCCACACTGATGTGGGATGCTGGGGAGGGGCCCCACAGAGCCAGCCGCCGAGGGTGGGGCTCGCGGCAGCTGCCAGGCCAAGCCAGGGAGTGGTGGACCCTGAGCACAGCTGGCGGCACGGTCGGAAGCCTGCAGGCGAGCGTCCCCAGCGGTGGGGAGCCCGCGGGGCCCCTCGGGACCGGCAGGCCAAGCAGCCATGGGGCCAGCTGCTGGGGGTGCCCTGGGACCTTGCATGGTGCCGGAGAGGGTGACCTGGGGCCCTGCTGAGGGCTGAAAGCGCACCTCCCTCCTGGACCAGCCCTGGCTGGCTGCCTGCCCACCGCACCCAGACAGCAGGCAGCTCAGAGCCCGGAGACACCACACAGACCCCATGGGCTCCTGAGGGGATCGTGGGGGGGGGTGACCCCTCTGCACTCTGCCTGGGACTGGCGGCCACATGGCCATGTCCACACTCTGCTCTAGGGTGGAGCACCCCCACAGCTGGCCCCGGGGAAGCCTCCTGCACCAAGAGGCGACATCACTAAGTGGCTCAAAGTCTGATTCATTTACAAAAAGGGGGCTTCTAGCTTCCCGTTCTCCCAGGTTTACCGCCCTCAGGGTGACGCCGCAATCCCCCTGCCGCGGGCATCCGCCCGGAGCACCACAGCCCGACCAGGGCCCCTCACCTATGAGGCCGACATTCGCCGCAAGGTCGTAGTAGTAGGAAAAGGCATAGAAGTCCACGTCCTTCACCTCCGCCGCTCTGTGCACTTTGCTCCGGAGGATGTGTGACACTCGGCCGGCACACAGCTCGTGGATGTTCCCTGCGGGGGCAAAGGAGACAGAGCCAGCAGTTGGGGGCTCAGCGCCTCGGGGCCACGCGCCCCTGCGGCTCCTTCCCAGTGAGGCCCGGCATGGAGGGGGACGCAGGGCCAGAGCCCGGGCGGAGCCCTCTCCCAAGTCAGGTGCTCGCAGTGCCGCTCGTCAACAGCAAGCTCGTGGCGCGGGTCACGGGAGAGAAATCCTGGGCATGAAGGCAGCCAGGCAGCGTGGCCCGACTGAGGCCCTCCTGACGCCACCAGCCGATCCAGGGTCACACTGTCGCCTCTGCCAGGCCTGTGCTGAGCTCTCTGGTGCGGTGTCCTGTGCCATCTCATCGGCCGCCCGGAGCGGGGCCTGTACCCTCGGGTCAGAGGCCTCACAGGCAGCTTGCTGAGCTCATACTGCTGGTCATTCACTCCTTGCTTGGCGGGAGGATGGTAACACAGGGCCCAGGGGTTAACGGACGTGCACACCGTAGCCTGCCCCTGGACCCGGCTTCCCACCTCCTCCCCGTGGCCCACAAAGCCACTGCCCTTCACACGTCCTCTCTCCCCTGTCCCTTGTCAGGCCGGGCACACCACTGTCTCCTCGCTCCTTACGCACAGCAGCCACCGCCAGGCCCTTGCACATGCTGGCCCCCCCGGCTTGGAGAGCTGCCGCTTTAGACCTCTGGGCTCACTCCCCACCTCCCACATCTTGGCTCAAGTGTCCCCTGCAAGGTCCTCCCTGGTCGTCCTGTTTAAAACCCATCTTCAGCTTCCCCAGCCTGTTTCGTTTTTTTTGCAAAGCCCTTTGTGTCTTACTGCCTGGCTGCCCTGTCCCCCGAATGCTGGCCGGGGGGCCCCGCGGCTGCGGCAGGGCCTGATGCATGGGCCTGGCACGGTGGCTCGGAGTCGGGGACCCACGTGGTTGCCAGGTGATCAGAAGCGTGTACTTGGTCTTTCCTGGCTCCTGACAGAGTTCCTGAAACCCCTGACCTCTGAGTGGTGGGGGTGAGAAGCGTGTCTTGTGTTACTTGTAAGCTTCTTTCGACTGCACTTGAGTCGACACTAACGTGGTGACTCTTGACAGTCAGGATGCGGGCTGCTGGTCGGAGGAACCGGCCCTGTGGTCAGCCACCCTTGGCCTCCTCGGGGGAGAGCCGGTCGCCACGAGCAGTGATGGTCAGTGATGATCAGTGACTAGTGGCCACGCGGAAGGAACCTGCGTAGGAACCCTAATCCACAGGGTGTAGGAAGGGTCCGGGCTGGTGAACACAGGAGGTGCCGGGAGGTGGAGCACCTGCCTCGAGAGGGCACGGGAGTGCCATGCCCCGGCCCCTGCCTCACCTTAGCGTCCACGGGCCGTTCTGGAGTTACATCCTTGAGAGCAAACTGGTGCTTTGAGGAAGGTGCCTTCCTGAGCTCTGTGAGCTGTTCTAGCAAGTGTCTGCAGGGGCAGGACAGGGAACTAGCGGGAACCCCCAGGACGGAGTCAGCTGCATCCGACGACTGGGAGAGGCGAGGTTTGTGGGGCTGAGCCCTTGACCTGCAGGGTCTGCACTGAGTCCAGAGCCGGAGCCCAGACGGAACCGCTCACGAGCAGAGAGCTGGCTGGCGGGACGCCCCTGGGCACTTGGTGGCAGGAGTGCTGCAGGCAGAAGCTGCTCTGTTGCCAAAGGCAGACAGACCTCAGGTCCTGCCTGGAGACGGTGTCCCAGGACTTCTTCAGGAGAAACTACAGCTCAGGCCGACCAAGGCCCCTGGGAGCGGGGGGCCAGTCACCTGCGGGCCCGCGGCCAGGCCACTCCTCCCCGTCCGGGGCTGCCAGGCCCGGAGCCCTGGCCTGGCCGCTTGTCTCAGAGCCGAGAGGTTCGTGTCCTTCCTCACTGGAGGCTTGTAAGGAAATTCAGTGCTTCGCAAGGAAGTATCCGGCCACAGACAGGGGGGCCTTGTGCAGGGGTCCTGCGGGAGCTGGCGGCTCCCAGCGTGTCCGGCCAAGGGCTTCCGGAGCCGCTTCCACTTCGCGGGCGAGTGTGGGGGTGTCTGGGAGGGGGCTGGTGGCCGTCTCCCTGTCTGCCGGAGGGGTCTGGAAGGTGCAGGAGAGGGGAGCCTGCCTTCTGAACCCTCACACAGCACCGATGGGCAGCAAGTCCAGCGTACCTGCCGTCTGTCCGGAGACTCTGTACGTCACCTCCGCGTGCTCCCACTCTCCTCGGAAGCCGGGAGGCAGACAAGGGCTGACCAGCTCCTTTCCGGCCTCAGCTGAAGCACAAAGATAGAAAGAAAGGCATGTGAGCACTGCCGGCCCGGGGCACAATGGAGTGAGACACGGGGTCTGCCGAAGCAGGCCTGTCTCAGGGAGAGGGTTTTAGGCTGGTGACGGGGAGCAGAGGACACCCCAGAATGTGTCACCTTGGCATGCGGATTATTTTGAGCTGCAGGCAGTCAAGACCCAGCTGACTCGGGAGAAGCTTTTTACCTCCTCGACTGCCTAAAGTGATTCAGACGGGGCCGTGCCCTCGCCGCAGTAACAGACACGGGGCCTGGACAGTAAGAGAGCTACTGCCAGAGATGGATTCCGAGTGGTGCCTGCGGGGCAGAGCCCTGGTCACCGAGCACCTGCTCCTCCGACGTCCTGGGGGCCTCCTCCCCTCGCGGCAGTAATGCGGGCACAGGAGGAGGCACGCTTTTTGCCAGGTGACACCTGACACGTGGGGGCCTGGCCGGGGCGCAACTCCTCTACCCCGAGCTGCCAGAAGCCGCATCTGCTCTGGAAATGGGGCCCCTCTCGGTTCACACCCACCGAGGGGCTTCTGGGCTCCAGGCACCGGGCTGCATGCTGTTCAGGCAGTTTTCATCACGACCTGCCAGGAGGGGAGCCTCCATTCCTGGCTTCATAAAGGGCCGAGCCTGTGAGTGACCTGGCAGGGCTGCGGCAAAGCCTCAGTGAGCCACCGCACCATGACCCTGTGGGGCCACGGACAGCACTGGGAGTGTGGTGGCAGCCTGCATGCAGGCCCCACAGTGCTGCCCCCCGAGGGTGCGCACGCTGAGAGGCGGGTCAGCTTCTCCCACTGAGCAGCAGGTCCCGTGGCTGGGGCGTGCCCCACAGGGGGCCATGTGACTCCCGAGTGGCCAGGGCGAGGTCACAGGGAGGAGTACTGAAGTGCATGACGTGCAGCCTGGTCGCCCCGTCACCACACAGGGCCCCGGGGGGCCCCAGTAGGGGTGCCGCCCAGCTGAATCCTGCAGAGTCACAAGGCGCAGTAACAGACCGGCTGCCGTTCCACCCACTCAGTCCGGGGTGATGTGCTGTGCAAAGACAGGTGACAGCAGGGGGCCTCCCCAGGGCGGGAAGCAGCCCATGCCTCTCTTGGTGGCCGCCACACTGCCCCGACCGGGCATTTCATGTGGCCCGATGAGGAGCGGCCCCCCATGGCTCTGCCGAGTGGGAGGGATGTGGGGGCAGGTAGAGCCCCCGGCCATCAGACGGGCAAACTGGCGCTGCCTTCCTGTTGGCTAGACAGGTGTTTTCTAGCCCCAGAGCAATGGTAGCAGGTGTTTCTGAAAGGTGGATATGTTTTTGGTTTGCAACAAAGGGGATTCCATTATGAGGACAAATACCAAGATTTGAAATAAATCAATTAAAATAGGATGTCCATGGAAAAACAAAAATTCCATTGCACAGTCTCACTTGTCAGAAAGCCTGGCCCTCAGGAAAATGGGTACCAGTGCTATCCTGCGGGGGACGGGGCGCAGGGCAGGCAGAGGCAGGGCCAAGGCCAGGTGTGTGGCTGCGGCACACACGTAGGGACCAGAGGCGCGGGTCAGGGCCTAGGGCCGCCCTCTGCGCCCTCAGACACAGGCCAAGGCCTCGGAGCAGGGCCCCCCACTCCCCACCGGGGCACCTGACCCCTTGAGCCCTGGGAGTCCGCGCACCCTGACTGCCGCACGAGGCTCTCCTGGGCCAGGCCCGTCAGGAAGGGCGGGAGGCCTGGGGGACCAGACACAGCCTTCATCTCCGGGTAACCTTCACCTCCACGGAGGCAGGGAGGACCAGGCCTGTGCTCATGGTCCTCACAGAGCCACAGAAGGCACAGGGACATTCTCACAGGGCGGAACAGCTGTGAGTGGGGACAGACACCCGCAGCCCAGGGCCCCCACGCTGTCGTGAAGAGTGAGGCTCTCTCCAACCCTTAAAACAAGGCAGCGCCAAGTGCAGGTGACTCTGCAGCTGTGCGGTGTCCTGAGATGCCCTGGCCTGGTGTTTCAGAGAGGACCTCACTCTATCTCCTTCTTTAAAACCTTAGAATGTATACAGGTGAACGTGTCACCGGTTGTCACCATCAGGGTGTCCACTGACCACACCGGGGGCATGCCCTGGGCGCCCCGAGCCTGCCTGGCGGGCGGCGAGCTGCTGTGATGGGGGTGGGGAGCCAGGGGGCCGTCTCCCGAGGGTTCCCCCAGGCTGCCGAGCGAGGAGGGCCCCCCACGCACTCCACTCACCGGGTCTTCCCTCCACGCCGCCCAGGATCGCCAGCCGTGCCGACATCAACCCGAGACCCAGGTAGCTGCGGAAGGAAAACCTGGGGTGAGGGGCCAGCCCAGTCCCGGGGGCTCTGGCTCCTCCCTCACTTCCTGCACCTCCGGCACCTCCGCCTGACCTGGACCCGAAACAAGTGGGGCGGGGAGGGGCCTGGGCCGAGGCGGCAGGTTCCTGCTTCACCCAGAAGCCTCTCTGCACTGGGAAGGGGGCTCAGCTAATTAGTTCGACAAACGAAGGCCTAACTCAGTGCCAGGAGCTTGCCCAGGACGTCCCGGTGAACGAGGCACCTCATCTGCGGTGTGCACCCCCGTGCTTCACGGGAAAGGTCTCAAGGCACCACGAGGCAAACAGGGGCCCAGAGAATTCCCACACCAGCCACGGGCTCGTCCCCACTTTTTGGAAAACTTTCTCCAAAGCAGGACAGAGCGAGCACACAGACAGACGTGTAGCTGCGGTAGGTACACGGCCGGGAGGCTGTGCAGGGCTGCGCCCGTGCCCGGACGGCCACCTCCCCGCCCTCAGCCCTGAGCACACCTGTAGGAGTAGACCTGGTAGGTCCTATTGAACATCTGGAGCGACGTCAGGTGGCCGGGCGGGGAGGTGTGAATGGTGTCCTGGGAAGACACGAGGGTCACTGCTTTTCCTGCTGGCCTTTCTGGAACCCTGCCCCCACCCCTCTATTCTCTTGAAAAACAGAGGCAGTGAAGACGTATTCAATTCATTTTTCATTAAGTCACAACTTGTGAAAGTTTGGAGCAATGAGAAATAAAACGTTCAAAATGGAAAACTGTTTTTCCTCCTTGTGAGTATCATTTACTCATTCTGACAAACACCACTCAAGACAACGGAGTAAACTTAAGTCTTCCAGTGAGAACTAAAAATAATAGTACAAAAACAGTGGGTGGTGAAGGTACTGCTCTGAAAGCAACTGACGGTCTTGACGGGAAGCATCTGTCCCAAAAGGGACCAGAGCTCCCTCCCCTCTGGGCCAGGCTGCCAGGGGGCAGGCAGGGGAGGGCGGGCCCACCCCCCAGTCTCTGGCCCAGAGGTCCAGGTGGCATCGCACAGGCACCAGGTCTCTGAGCGGGAGCAGGGCTGGGACGCCTCCCGGGCAGGCGGCCGGGCTGGTTACCTGGGCTCTCGGGAGGAAGGTGATCTGCGTGGAGCCTCCACCCAAGTCCAGCACGCCCACGCGGCTCCTTCCCGGGGTCTGCAGACTGCCTGGGGCACAGCAAGCGAAGCCAGCAGAGCGTCCGCGCGGCGTGTCAGCAGGCAGGTGAGAACAGCAGAGGGTTAGAAGCCGGGCCCTCCAAGGAGCAGCTGCAGTGACTGAAACCTCCGTGTAGGGACGCACAGGGCCCAGGAGCCCCTGCCGGGCTCTCCACAGCCCAGGGCAGCTTCTGCTAGGAAGCCTCTTGCTTTCTCATGTGTCAGATACCCTGGCTTCTTCCAAAATCACAATAAAGAGACAAGACCCCACATGTACTGAGAATAATCTAAGCAAAATTATTCTTTGCCACTTGTTTCCAAGAACATATGTTTCTGGTCCTTGATCTACCTACAGCGGAGGAATTAATTCTAAGGTGATCATACCCACAGCACACTTACTACCTGGCGACAGGACCAGGCCAACTCCTGCCTTGGCTTGGCAGTGGGCGGACAGGGCCCCGGGTGGAAGCTGCTGCCCTGGGGGCGGGACTGGTGCTGGGGAGGCCGCCCAAGCTGAGGTCCCCCCTTTCCCAGCGCTCACATCTGCAGGCGCCACACTCGCCCTGATGGGCCGAGGGGACACCCGTTCCAGCACCCTGCAGCTCTGGGCAACCCCGAAGAGGTCACTTTAAGAGCGGACACGAGAGCCCTACTGTCAGAACGGTGTGTGCGCCGCAAGCCTTCAGTGACGGGGGCACACCTGTCAGGAAGTTGACAGTGATCCAGGCTGACACTCCTACAAGAGAGGGTCACAGACAGCACGCAAATCACTCGGGGTGCTGTGAACACCGCCGGGACTCCAATGGCTACACCCCAACTTCAGGGGCAGGAGGGGCCCCTTCCCCACCACTCCCAGCCGTCGCATCAGCTGCTCTGCCAGATGTCACCTCTCTCCCTGCTCCCCGTCATCAACGCTCTCTTCTGAGAACCAGCTGGTCTCCCCTCCCTTTGTGCAAACCCTCAGGGTCATATTTAAAGTTGGGGGCTGGTGTGGAACCGTAAGTGTCTCCCTCTTAGAATCAACAACACAGCAGCAACGTTCCGAACACACTAGCAACTGGGGATTCTCTCTAAATGTTCTCAAAACGGAGAAGATAACTTGTCTCCAGAAACTCCCTGTGCCAGGCTTGGACCTGCTCCGGATGGGGCTGCGTCTCTCACGCCAGCCCCGAAGATCCTCCCAGGCGGGCACTGTGACCCAAATGGGGCTGTCCCTGGAGCCCGGGCCTCTGAGCAGGACCGCACTTCCGCATGGCACCAGGAGGGCAGCCCGCACGCAGCCCGCCCCCTGCATAGCCTCGCGCCAGGGCGAACCGCTTGCTCTACCTTCGTCTGTTCCGTTCATGATGGAGACGCAGTCGTCCCCTACGAGGAAAGGCGATGCCTTAAACACTTCCTTCACCTGAGTGTAGAGAGAACACATGGTCATCCTGCAGGGTTGGAACTCACAGCTGCCAGTCATGCTGTGCCCCCAGCCAGCGGCAGGAGGACCCCAGCCCGGGGGGCGTGGCCTCACCCGGGGTGGGGGGGACTCCCTCGCTGCCCCAAGCTCTCTGATCCTCTGCAGGCTGCTGCCTCCTCAGTCTCCTCCCAGGGCCTGCTGAGAACGCTACCCGGGAGCCCCACCGCAGCCCTGTCCCTGGGAGGGCTCTGGCCCTGCTTGAGGATGGGAAGCTCTGCAGGGCCGAGCTCGGCTGGGCCCCCACGTGGCCGGGGCGGGGGGCACTGCTCCCAGGGAACAGCCAGCAGAGGGGAGGCGAAGCAGTGAGCTGCTGCATTTGGGTGTATTTCCTTCTCCATTTTTTAGGAAGTGTGGGATTTTTATAAAGGACCCTGAGATGTGCAATGGCCCACCATCCTGCAGCTGACAGCGTAAAGGGTGAGGAAGGCCATTCCCGGAGCCATCTGCGGGCGCGGGGCGCCTGGGGACACCCCAGCTGTGTGAGAGTTGCCCTGGGCAGGGGAGGCTAAAGGGTGTGCCTGGCCTCTCCCCCCTCCCCCCCAGAGGAGACCCGGAGGACTAGCAGTTTCCACAAGAACACACAGCCTGAGCTGAACGTCAGCTGTCGGTTCCCACAGCCCCAACACGTGGTCAGTGTCTGGATGCCAGGAGGTCCTACAGAGCACAAAGTACCTTTAAAACAAAGTCGTTCTTCTTGTAACAGATTCACTCTAGGAAACATGAGTATCTTTAAATGTCGGGGTGTGAAAATATCATTCACCCGCCACCCCGCCACCCGAGTGCGATGCTCTCGGCATTCCGACGTGCCTCTGCTCCAGGAAGCTCCCATGTGACCTGCCTGACGGGCAGACACAGGCTGGCATTCAGTGTTTGCCCCGTCACGAGCCGCTGGCTGGGGGAAGCGGGTGCATCACCTTCTGCAGCAGCTTCTGAGCCTTCTCTCCTGGTAACAGGCGCAAGCCGGCCGTGGCCTTGAGGACCAGAGGGGTGGTCTTCCAGAGGCCGACGGGAACGTCGTGCTTAGCAACATCCAGCAATTCCTGGATTCCCGACGTGCTCTGTGAACGTGGGGAAGCAAAGCGGAGGCCGTCAAAGCTCAGCGTGCAGGGTGACGGAGGCCCCTCTAGATTCTGGTTTATTAGTTTGTAAATGCTCAAATTTTCTAAATTGGCAGAAAACTCAAGTCAAGTGGTGCTGGCGGGTTAGTGGGGCTCAGGGGCCAGTGAGCCTCAGAAATACCCTGGCACAGCACGCGGGGTGTGCGCTCAGGACAGGGTCGCTTGTGGCACTGAGGCCGGTGAACGCTGCCATTTTTGCCTCCCGGATGCTCAAGGGCCAGAAGCTGGCCAAGGCCCCTCGTCCCTGGGGGTAGGTGGGGTGACAGCCTCTGAGGCATCTCAGGGTCTGTTAACAGTATGAGGCCATGAGGGCAGTTTGGCAAACCCCATTCTAAGGATTCACGTGAGGGATGCCCTTGCACACGTGGGTGATGAAGAGCACAGCGGGGACAGTCTTATACCGTTAGGAGCAACAGATCGGGCATCTGTGCATCCCCCAGTCGGGGGCTGCTTCCAGAGGCTGAGTGCGCATGTGCGCACTGCAAGGCCCCCGGCCGGAAACATCACAGACGCCCTTCACGGGGAGTGACGGATCTCTAGGTTATACTCGGTGATGCCATCGAGGTGCATAAGAATGTGAGTGCCATTCTATGTGCACGTAAACTAGAGTGGGGAGGGGACTACAGGTGCTCATGTACATGTAAACCAGCTCCTGAAGGATCCGTGAGAACCAGGGAGCCCCGGGGAGACTGGCGTGGGAGGGCGGATTCTGCCGTCCGCCCTGGGAAGCCAGGAAATCTGTCCCACTGCAAGTGTGCTGCCTACTGAGACAAGTAAGGTTTTAAAAACCCTCTGAGTTTACTGCAAAGATGTCTAATTTAATCAGGTTTAACCGGACAGTCACTCTGGAATCACTCATTTCGACTTCTGTTTTCAGTTTGTTTTCTAAGGGCGCCACAGGGAAGGAAGGTTGGGCTCCTCTGGCCGAGACCAGGATGCGCCGGTGCAGCAGTGCACCTGCTTCTGACTCAGGACGCACCTGAACCGGAGGGGGCTTACGGCTCGACGGGGCGCCCCCTTCATCAGCCTGTGGGGTACAGGGCTGTTAGTGCAGGGGTCAGCTTTAAGGACTTCAGAAGGATAGAAGCTACAGACTTACAAAAATCACCTCTTGAGTTCAAGTAAATTTCTTTTACATTTATTTGGTTTTGTGGATTTTGCATAACACATTTTTAACTTTAATTTTTTGTTTTAGTCAACATGTGTCATGTTTGCTCAGAGGCACTGAAACAAAAAAATAGTGAATTTCCAAATCATCTCTTTTGTAAGTGTATAGCGTTCGTGCTTTTGAGCCACGCCGGGACTCGGGGTGCAGGGGGGCCTGGGAAGCAGGGGCAGGGTTCCCCAGCCTCATGCCCTGCCAGCTTCCTCCATCCGACCACCCCCATCAGATGAGACGCCCCGGTCAGCACCTGCGAAGAGGGCCTACTAGAGTCGAGAGAAAGGGGGCCGGCCCGCGGACCACACACTTACAGACAAATGCGAGAAACAGCAAGAACCGTTACCTTTTCGACGTCATCAGCATAAGCAGAGAGTCCTGGCTTCAGTGCCTTGAAGGTTTCATGGGTCAAAGTGGGAGTTTCTAGAGGGAAATGTGTTTTAAAAGAGCACAACAATTAACAGACACGTGGATATATACATGAATACATGAATATACGCAACCGCGTATGCCACGCTTTTTAAAGGCAGACATCTGAAAACAGACCTTCACTGTTTCTGGTCTAAATTCTGCCACTTTAGTCGGGTTAAACACGATGAATAGCAGCACATTTACTGTCTTGGCCAGAATTTTACTTTTAAAAAAAATCGACTTATCAACGAATGAATTAGAAAAAAGTGTGTCCCTTGAAAGTGTTAACTCTTACAACAGTTAATTCCTGCTGATTCACAACAGAGGAGCAGGACACATGATTCCAAACTGCGAATACGAAAGCCATTTCCTCAATTCTGGGATGGAGGTATTATAGGGTTTTAAAGAATATCTTCTTTCTTTTAAAAAACTGAATGTTTTAAATTATTAGGAGCCGAGACTCGTGTATACAGCAAAGAAGAGCGTCCAGAGGCACACGGTGGCCAAGAGATGCTGGTCTGAATTCAGACACGAAGAGCCGGGAGGAAAACTCAGGGGTAAGACGTTTAGTAAGGCCGTCTCTCCAACGACAAAACACCGGAAAAGGCTATCAGAGGGCTATTCGTGGACAAGCGTTGTCTTAAACTTGGCCTCAAAACTCTTTCTGGAGGTAGGCAGGGCTGGCATATAAAAATTTTACTGTAATAAGCTAAAAATAAAGGAGACGGAAGTAAATAAAATCTGCACGGCAGCTCTGGAGAGGACCACTCCAGGTGTCCAGGGCCACCAGCTCCATTAATGCCCAGAACGGTGTCGGCCACGCGGCACTGCGGGCCACCAAGAGCCGGAGGGCAGGATCCCCAGCCCAGACTGGCGCACCTGCTGTGGCCGGTGGAAAGCACTCCCTGGCTAGAGGCTGGTGAGGTGACCCCAGAGCTGCTGGGCACTGCAAGGCCACGGAGGACAGAGCCCTGGAGAGGAGGAGGGGCTGGGTGGAGAGCTGGGTGGCAGCTGGGTCCCTACAAGGCTAGTGGGTGGGGATGCCCCCTGCCTCCCTCCTGCCCGCAGCCAGCAGGGCCCCCACCCCGGCAGCAGACAGGGCTCAGGCTCTGCCCCTCCCCACTCTGAGGCCACTGCTGCCTGTCACCCTCTCGCTGCCTGGCCCCACTGGCAGCCCCATGTTGGCCTGGGCTCCAGGTCTTTGCTAATTTATTTGATTTTCCTAGATGCCTGGCTCCCACCGGCCTTAAACTCTCCCGACATGACCTCCGGCCTACGTCATGACCTGCCGGTGACACTGGGAGGGAACAGGCCACCGCAGGCACTCAGGGGCCTCGGCTGCCTTTGGGTGGTCACCCGATGCTGTGCGAGAGAGGACAACCTGGGGCTCCTGGGAAGTTCCGAACCCAGGCCAGACCCGCACCTGAGTGGGCATCTCTGGGAAGTTGCATTTTTGATAGGCCCCCTGGGGGCCCAGCCCACACCCTGAGAAGCCACAGTCTTTATGGGGAGGAGAGCCCAGGGGCTGTGGTGTGCAAGCCAGAGAGCGAGCACATGGCTGGGGCCTTCTGCCGGGTACCTCCAGGCTGCTGGGCGAACCGGAAGATGTGCACACGGGTGCCTGTGCTTCCTGCGTCGAACACGATTCCGTAGAAGACCTCGCGACCGCGTGTGGCTGTCCCTGGGGGGCTGCGGGCCTGCTGGCCCCTGCGGACCCCCGAGGCAGCCTCAGTGATGCTGAAGAAGGCCTGGGCGGCAGAGGCCCAGTGCCACTTGATGTAGGCGATGTAGATGAGCAGGCAGACGAGCAGCCCAAGGGGGTACGCCACCTTCGTCATCTTCAGGCCCCCACCGTTCAGTGATTTTCTCATTGCTTTGCTGAGGGTGGCGCTGCGGCTGCAGGGGGGAGACAGGCGAGGCAGGAAAGACGTGTTAGGCTGCGAGGCTGCAGGGCAAGTCAGTCTCCTTGCTGAGACAAAACGCCCAGCCAGGAGCTGGTGTGCACTCCCCCCCCAGAATCAGAAGCCTCACTTCATCCTCAGAATGATTCCTGACGGTGGGATCCCCACTTTGCAAAGAGGAACTGAGGTTTATAAGGACTAGACGACCTGTCCACGGCCGTGGTCCAGCAGGTGCAGGCTCGGGGCACAGGCCCACAGCCGCTGACTGCAAGGTCCGAGTGTGGCGCCCACCACGTGCTGTTCCACACAAACGGCTGTGAGGCTCGCTGTTATTTTGAAAGCCACGTGTCTCCAAACCTTTCAGTTGTCCTCCCCATAGGTAATTTCCATTTCAGGTTTAAAACCCCACCCTGTGGGGATCTACAGGGAGCCCCAGACAAATCAGAGAAACGGCTTGTTTTCCTGGAAGTTCCAGAACAGACGCTTTGTTGCATTCACACAGCACATTCCTGCCAAGGAGGAAATAATTCCCGTGTGCTTTCAGAGTCTAAAAATCCTACCCAAGTAGCAAAAGAAATGAATTCAGCACCATTACCTCTGGTTTGATAAACCCCCAAATGAGAGCATTTGTTCAAGTTTATCAGCAACGTCTAGTGCAAGGAGCCACATGGGAACCTGAGGCTTTAGAGGGGAAGCAGTGAGATGCCGATTCCCAGGGCTCCCCTAACCTGGGGAGCGTCTGCCCAGCTGTGCACCCTCACTGTCCACCGGGGGCAGCAGAGTGGACGCTCCTGGGCAAAGAGACAGGGAAGTGCCAAGTGAAAGCGGGAGGCGCTGTCTCCTATCTGCATGGTGGGCTGCTCACAGGAGAACACGTCACGATGTGGCCTTGTGAGGAGGACGCGCAGAACGCACAGTGCATGCTGGCTCACGGGGGGCAGCAGGGCACACACCCACCCCTCAGACCCAGGACAGTGATGGGGTGCTGGGCTGGGGGCTGATGCAACTGCTCCATCCTGGGGGGGTGGGGTCCAGGAGCCAGGGGACAAGCCTGCGGTGGCCCTAGTGCCAGCCTGAGACTGTCTGGGTGGAGGAGGAATGGACCAGGTGGCCTTGGGCAGAGAGCAGAGTCCCTCAGCAGCCCCTCCTTTCTGGGATCTGCCCTGGAACCACACCTGGATGCCCTCAAGTGACCAGTGCTGGCTGACCCTACGGCTGCCAGGTGCCCCCCCCCTTGGAAGGCCTCCCAGCGCCCATTACCAAACTCAGGCAGGAGGCAGGGCAAATAGCTCCCTGAGCATCTGCGACATGCAGAGGCCAAGGGCAGGCCTCCCTCCCCAGACCCCGTCCTCAGCCCCTGCTCCTGCCTGACTCTGGGCCTCCTGGGCCTCACTGCACCTGCGATCACCCCACTGCGCCTGCGATCACCTCACTGCACCTGTGATCACCCCACTGTGCCTGCAATCACCCCACTGTGCCTGCGATCACCGCACTGCGCCTGCGATCACCTCACTGCACCTGTGATCAGCCCACTGCTCTCAGGGTCCTACTGCAGCCCCCGCCCAGGCCTGGCCCCTACTGGCCTCTGTGGCTTCCTCTTACATTTCTCGCCCTTGCTCCCAGCACCCGGGAACCCGGTGCCTCCTTCTTTCCCCACCGCTCAGCCCCTCCCTGCCTCGGGCCCTGCGCACACAGACACCACTCCCAGAATGTTTGTCAGCTGACCTGGCCAACCCTGTCCTTGCCCCTAAGCCTCAGCTGAGTGTCCCACCACCCCTGACCCCCTCAACTTGAGCAGCCCCCGCCTGTCACGCTCTCTGCACCCCCCGCCCCCTGACCTAGCTCCTCTGTGTCAGTGTTTATGGGATAAGCTGCTGAGGGTCTGTAAGCCCCCACGAGCAGGAGCTAGCCTATTCTGAGCAGCTGTGGCCCAGCCCGGCACGCGGGCCCTCATCTAGGCGGCAGAGGGCGTTCCTCTGCCCCACCGGCCGCCCATGTGGCCACCGCACACAAGCCAGGCTATGCCTACTCCTTCCACGCGGAGGGCGGCAGCTAGCAGGGGGAGAGGGAGTTCTAGGCCCTCGCTCCCCGGGGGCGTGTCAGAGAGAGTGGGCCCTGCTGGATATTTTACAGGAGTTTTGGAAAACAGTCAAAGGTGTACAGCAGACAAGCCAATGCCCAGCCCGGAAGTCACACCCGGGACTGAGTCTGCCATGCTCACTCACGACTGCCCACCCTGCCCTGGTGCCCCAAGGTCTGAAGGAAGCAGCTGCCCACTCTGCTTCCTCCTCTAAACTGGGGCCGCAGAGCAGGCTTCTTTGCAGCGTGCTCACCCGTCTCGGGACCGTGGAGGGACAGGGCCTTGCTGCGTCTGACCTGGAGTTTGGAGCTCGGATCAGGAAAGTGGGGGCAGCTGTGAGTCCTTCCTATGAAGGCCGCAGGGAGGCTGCAGACACACACATGGGGTAAGGGGGGGCGGGGTGGACACCACAGAACATCTAAGGCTCAAGGAGGAGTTTGGGCGAGACTGTGGGAAATTACAGGTAAAAGCAGCCGTGTAAATGGGGCAGCTGTAAATAGCACACATACAGGCCCAGGGAAGACACACATGCAGAAAGAGTCTGAGAATACCTAAGCCTTCACCCTGGGCTCAGAAACACCTGCTAGGCAGTGCAGGACTTTCCTGGTACACAGCCAGTCTGCAAAGGCTAGGAGAGATGACTGCTTTTGCAAATGCTAAAGTTTTCAACAAAAATATCACAAGACATACAAAGCAACAGGAATCTCTGGCCTGTTCCACAGAGGAAAGAGTGGCAGAAACTGTCCCTGGAGAAACACAGGCATTGACGTACCAAACAAAGACTTTAAAACAACTGCCTCGGTGCACAGAGCCAAAGAAACTGGGAAAACAACACAGGACAACAAAATGAGAATATCAACAGAGGTGGGAATTACAGAGAAGAGTATTTTTTCTGATCACAATGGAATGAGATGAAAAAATCAACAAAAGGAAAACTGGAAGATCCCCAAATACGTGGAAATTAAACCACACACTCAAACAACCGACAGGTCAAAGAAGAAATCAAAGGGGAAGTTAGAAAATATTTTGTGACAAGTAAAAATGAAAATGCAACACACCAAACCCAATGGGGTGCTGCGTAAGTCGCACCAAGAGGGGAATTTATAGCTGTAAAAACCTAGAAGAGAGATCTCAGCCAGCAACCTAACTTTACACCTACAGGAACAGGAAAAAGAACAAAGTAAACAAAAAGTTAGAAGGAAATTAACAGCAAGACTTAGAGCGGGATGATAATAGAGGATAGAGAAATAAATACAGAAAAGCAGGACACCAAGAGTCGGGCCTTTGAAAAGGGCAGCATGACTGACAGACCTTTAGCTGGGCTGACCGAGGGACACAGAGAAGACGCAGATAACTAAAGCCAGAGAGGAAATGGGGAACATGTACTACTGGTTTTAAGAATAAAAATTATTTTAAGAGAGGACTATGAACATTTGTATGCCAATAAACTGAATAACCTGGACTAAATCAACACAGTTGACACATTCTAAGAAACACACAACCTACCAGAAGAATCATGAAGAAACAGGAAACCTGAACAGACCTGTGACTAGTAAGGGCATTGAATCAGTCATTAAAACCTCCCAACAAAGAAAAACCTTGGACCAGGTGGCTACCGATTTGATTGTCAGTGATTCTACCACACATTTAATGAAGCCACAGCCATCCTTTTCAAAATCTTCCCCAAAACTGAAGAGGGATCACTTCCCAACTCATTGTACACAGCCAGTATGACTCTAATATCAAAGCCACACAAAGACACTACAAGAAAACAAAATATAGACCAATATTCCTCATGAATATTGACTGAAAAATCCTCAACAAATAGTATCAAACTGAATCCAACAGTGGTAAAAGGATTGATTGTACACCAAGACCAAGTGGGGTTTACTCCCTGAGTGAAAGGATGGTCCGTTTGAAAACCCATCAAGTTAATACACCACAATAACAGAATAAAGGGGAGAAAAAAACACATGACCATCTCAATGGACACAGAAAAAACATTTAATAAAATCCAACACCTTTTCATAATAATAACAGCCAACAACCAGGAACAGAAAGAAATTCCCTCAACATAATAAAGGTCATATATGAAAATCCCACAGCTAACATCAAACTCACCGGTGAAAGACTGAAAACTTTTTGTCTAAAATCAGGAATAAAAAAAGTCTGTTTTCAACACTTCTATTCAACATAGTACTGGAAATTCTAGCCAGATTAATTAGGAAAAACAAGGAAATAAAAGGTATTCACATTGAGAAGGAAGATGTAAAATTATCTGTTTGTAGATGTCATGATCTTATACATAGAGAACCCTAAAGATTCCACACAGGGGAGGAAAATAACTATTGGAACTAATAAATTCAGCAAGGTTACAGGGCACAAAAGAATACACAAACAACAGTTATTTCTGTGCACAACAATAAACAGTAGGAAAAGGAAATCAAGAAAACAATTCTATTTACAGTAGCATCAAAAAGAATAAAATACTTAAGAATAAAGTTAACTAAGGAGGTGTAAGTCAAATAAATGGAAAAATATCTCATGTTCATCACTTGAGAGACAATATTGTTAAGATGTCCATACTATTTAAAGCGATCCACAAATTCAACACAATCTGTATGCAAATTCCAGAGACTTTTTTTTTCAGAAATAAAAAAAAGAAGATGATAAAATTCATATGGAATCACAAGGGACCCAAAACTGCCAAACCAATCTTGAAACAGAACAAAGTTAGAAGTATCATAATGATTTCAAAACATATTACAAAGCTTTAGCAATTAACACACAGAGGTAGTGAGATGAAGACAGACTCATAGACTGGTGGATAGAATGGAGCCCAGAAATAAGCCCTCGTGTAAATGCTCACATATCTTCAAAGAGGGAGCCAAGACCACTAACCAGGGAAAGGAGAGCGTCTTTGAGAAGTGGTGCTGGGAAAGCCGGTTCTCCGGATACAAAAGCATGAACTTGGACCCTTACCTTGCACCATATACAGAAATTAATTCAAAATGGATTAAAGACCTGACTGTAAAACCTAGAAGTATAAAACTCCTAGAAGAAAAACAGAAGAAAAGCTGTATGACGCTGACGCTGGCAGTGATTCTTGGACAGGACGTGGAAAGTGCAGACAACAGGAGCAAAAACAGACAAATGGGATGACATCAGACTTAAAACCTTTGTGCATCAAAGGACACTAAGCACAGAGAAAAAAGGCAACCCAGGGATGGGAGAAAATCATTTGTGAATTCACCTGATAAGAAAATCATGTGTGAATTCATCTAGAATACACAGACAACTAGAACTCAACAAAAAACAAAGAGCCCAACTGAAAAATGGGCAAAGGACCCGAAAAGACTTCTCTCCAAAGAAAACATACAAATGTCCAACAAGCACATGAAAAGATGTTCCACATTAGACAAGCAAAACCACAATGACATCGCCTCACATCTATTAGGGGAACTATCACTAAAAACAAAACAAAACACAGACAACCCTGAAGAGCCAAAGCAATCCTCAGAAAGAAGAACAAAGCTGGGGGATCATGCTCCCTAACTTCAAGCTATGCCACAAAGCTACAGTAATCAAAACAATATGGTACCAGCACAGGAACAGACCCATAGACCAATGGAACAGACTAGAGAGCCCACATATAAACACACACATACATGGTCAATTAATATACGATAAAGGAGCCATGGATATACAACGGGGAAATGACAGGCTCTTCAACAACTGGTGTTGGGAAAACTGGACAATGACATACAAGAGAATGAAACTGGATTATTGACTAACTCTAAACACAAAAATTAACTCAAAATGGATTAAAGGCCTAAATATAAGACATGAAACTATAAAACTCTTAGAAGAAAACATAGGCAGGAATCTCTTGAACATCAGCATGAGAAATATTTTCTTGACACGTCTCCTTGGGAAAGGGAAACAAAATAAAAAATTTACAAATGGGACTACATGAAACTAAAGATATTCTATATAGCAAAGGGGCATCATCAGCAGAACAAAAAGGCATCCTACAGTATGGGAGAATATATTCATTAATGCTTTTTCTGAAAAGAGGTTACCATCCAAAATATATAAAGAACTCATGCAACTCAACACCAAAAAACCCCAAATAACCCAATTAAAAAATGGGCACAGGACCTGAACAGATATTTCTCCAAAGAAGAAATATGGCCATATAGATGGCCAACAACCACATAAAAGATGTGTCACATCACTAAGGGAGATGCAGATCGTCCACAGTGAGATGTCACCTCACCCGAGTCGGAATGGCCACGACCCAAAAGACAAGAAATAACAAACGCTGGTGAGCATGTGGAGAAATAGGAACCCTCCTACACTGTTGGTGGGAAGGAAAATTAGTGCAGCCACTGTGAAAAGCAGTATAGAGGTTCCTCAAAAAACTAAAAATAGAAATAGGATACAATCCAGTAACTCCACTTGTAGAAATTTATCCTAAGAAAACAAAATCTCTGATTTGAAAAGAAGCATGCATCCCTATGTTTACCGCCACATTATTTAGAACAGCCAAGATATGGAAGCAACCAAAGTCTCCATCAATAGATGAATGGATAAAGAAGGTGTGGTACACACACATCTTATCCATATTACTCATCCATAAAAAAGATATCCCGCCATTTACAACATGGATGGATCTGGAGGGTATTATGCTCAGTGAAATAAGCCAGGCAAAAAAAGACAAATACCATATGATTTCACTTATCTGCAGAATCTGAAAACAAAACAAAATGCACAGAAGAGCAGTAGCCTCAGAGACACTAGGTAATGACTGGTGGTTACCTAGGGCAGGGGGTTGGGGCGGGTGGATGGGGAGGGTGAGGAGTAGAGAGAGGCACAAAACCTCAGTCATAATATAAGCTGGTCATGGGTTTGGAAGGGCAGCCTGGAGAACACTCAGTGGTTCTGTAACATCTTCCTGTGTTGACTGTAACTGCACCCCTGGGGGGTGAGGATTTAATAATGGGTGTAACTGGTGAACCACTACGTTGTATACTTGAAACCAATGCAATACTGCATATCAATTGTACTTCAATAAAAAAAGAAAAGAAAAGAAAACAAGTGCTGGGAGGGATGTGAGGAAATCAGAGTCCTTGTGGGATTACAGAATGGTCCAACCACTATGGGTGGAGAAAACAGTATGGAGGTTCCCAGGAAAAAAGAAAAATAGAATTACCATATGACCCAGCAATTTTATTTCTGGGTATACTAAAAAGAACTGAAAACAGGGTCTTAAAGAGACATTTGCACACCCATGTTCACAGCAGCCCGGAGGTGGAAGCAGTCCAAATACCCATCGGGAGATGAATGGATAAGGAAAATGTGGTCCATACACACAGTGCAGCTATCGGTCAGCCTGACGGAAGGAAACGCCAACACCTGCTACAACACAGGTGAGTCCTGAAGACATCGTGAATGAAATAAGCCGGCCTGATGGGGCAAATCTTCCACCTACATAAGGGCCTGGGGCAAGCAAATCCTTAGAGACAGAATGTGGAATGGCAGTTCCAGGGGCTGGGGGCGGGGCAAGAGTCAGTCTGGGAAGGCGAGAAAGCTCTGCTGAGGGACGGGGTGATGGGCGCCCCAGTGGGAATGTGCTCGACGCCGCTGAGTCCTGGGCCACCAGGAGGAGTCAGCTGTTGAGGCAGGAGCTGCTTGGGCAGCGGCCAGTTTTCCAGGAGCTGAGTTTGATGAAGGGCATTAGTCAGAAATGGAACTGACCCTTGGAGGGATGACAGGTTTGGTGTGGGGCCAGGGAAACGAGCTGCACAAAGGGACGTTAGCTGAGGAGCAGAGCCAAGGAAACAATGACAGGAGCCGGCAGAGGCTGACCCCGTGACCGTGACCCGGGAAGGCCTGCGCCCTGGCAGCCAGGCCCACCTGACCATGGCCTCCTTTCCTTAGGTTGCTGTAATCCAGAGCTTCCTGTTTGTGAGTGATAATTAAACACAGAAGAATTTGTATGCAAAGTTGCAAAGCAGCTGTTTCCATGCATGAACAGAGAGCACACAATTATGAAAGGGTTTCGCATAATCAAATTTTATCACGTCCATGTTTGCCTAAGAACCACGATCTATGTGATTAGATCAAATTTCAAGGCAAAGGTTGCTTTTTATTGAACTTGTCTACCCATTAAAAAATGCCTTTTGACATTTGCTATATCCTTCTATCAGAGGCCACAAGGCCTGCACTTACTGTATGTGACACAAGACAACGTATTCCCACACCACAACCCCGAGGGCTGGGGAATGCTCACCTGACCTGCCTGGGGTACACAGCTGGCACGTGGTGAGGCCCAGACAAGGGCTCCTGGCTTCTGTCTCCGAATCAGATGTGCTTCATCACTTCAGTTTCCCTATTAATACAAGAGCAAAAACACTCACGTGAGAGACAGACACGTTAACCACTAAAGTTACACACCAAGAGGTTCGGAGCAACGTAGAGTACAAACAGAACATGACACAGGGAGCAAGGGCGGGAACAGCCTGGCCCACAGGCACCTGTATGTCTCTGGGGCCCAAACCTAAGGCTAGTGTCACTGCACTGGGTTAAGGGGTCTGCCCCAAGCCTGCAGGAGGGGCTAAGCACATTTCCACAGGCACCAGGAACACCGCAGTACAAATGTGTTGATCAGACCCTCCCCAGGGGGTGATCAGGAAGACAGGTCAATTTTAGTTCTGTTCTGTAAAGGAGAGGGAACCCGGAACAAGGCAGTAGGGGAGGTAAGCCAGGTGGGGAATGAGGAACAGGCTGCAGGGTGGGGCAGGATGCAGGTGCACAGAGGCAAACGAAGGTTTCTCTGGTCGGTCCTGCTCCCAGCTGCCTCCTGCTGGGGGCCGCCCTCTGTCAAGAGGAGCAGGGGTCAGAGAGGAGAGTCCGGAAGGGAGCACTGTGTCGGAGGCGGATGCCTGACCCATCCCAGCTAGTTTCCTAGGAGCTGGGGACGGCAGGTTGGCTCAGAAATACAAGCCCTACCCACCTGGTTTGGATTGGTGGCCACGTCATCTGTTGGCCAGCTTCAAGGTTTCCTGTTAAAGTGCAGAGAAGGGCCATGCATGCAAATGACTGCTATGCATGCAGCTAACCTGTCCGAAATTACAGCTCGTGGATCAACCACTAACTCTCCTCGTAGGTTTAAGTGCACCTTTCTCCCCTTGTCTGCACGGTGGGAGTGGGGTGGGAGGCACCCCCAGACCTCTTTACACCGTGTCCGCCTCTCCTGTCCCTCACATTAGGCTTCACAAGGGGATGCACACATGCTGTATTAGCCAGCTGATGCTCTGAGGGCAGCAGCGGGGGGACAAAAAACACTATCTGAATACGTACCACTGTGCTTCCTAGACGTCAGGAGCCTCATTAATGCACCTTCCCAGACAGACCCCGATCCCCTTGTCCGCTGGGGCTCTTGCCCAGTGGGTCAGAGGAAATTTCAAACACAATCGCATCTACCTATCCCCAAGGGACCTCCTTCTAGAAGTTCCAGATGCACCCACGGGGGGCTATGGGCCAGGACATCCAAGGCAACCTGAAGGGTGCAGGATGTTGGCTTGTCGCACAGGATCCTGGAATACAGGCGACTGGGGGACCACGGGAGCTGCCAGGGGCCTCCAGGCGACTCACCCCCTTGGGGGGACGCCAGGATGAGCGTGCCATCATGGTGTGCGGAGCCACTCTACGGCTACCAGCACCTTCCTTCCACGGTCCCCTGCCCGTCTCTTCTCCTCTTCCACACCCTCCTGGCCAGTGTTTTCACACTGAATGGAGTGCAGCCCGGTGTTGAGGTGGGCAGGGGCATGGGACAGGCATCATGACCAAGTTTTCTTGTGACTGAAAATGGTTCTGATGTAAAAGGAAGAACAGGGGGGACCCCGTCTTAAGGCTAAGATTCCATTTTAAAAACCAGGGAGTTAGGAGGTAAGATTCCTAACATTTCATGGTAATCGGCCAATAACTGACCTTATCTTAGGCAGGATGATAGTCCTAAATGATCGGTCCCCGCTGCTGGAGGGGAACCACTATCCTGGAGAAAAGGATCATGAAACTCCTTGTGTTAAGCTTATCTTGCAGAATATCTAGAAGACTGACTGTAGATGGTGACGGGTCTCTCACGGGGGAGGCATCGCGAGGTCGCATGTCGAGCCCAACACTCCCTTCCCGCTCTGCCCCATTCTTGGAAGGCTTAAAAGACGGCATCCTAAGCCCCCAAGCGCGCCTCCCCTCTGAGGCCGCCGCCCTCCCCTTCCTTCCAGCGGGCACTTTCTGCCTTCTAAAGCCTTCCCACTGCTCGACCAATTGCGCGTTGTGCTCTTGCAGTGGTAGGCGTCTTCGCTGCTTCATTCTGTTTCTAGACTTCGGCACGAGTCTTCATTCTCTCCGTCCTTCTTCGGGCAGGTAGGGAAGGGCGGCTGGGAGCTGATTTAGGCCTCGAGTTCCCACGGCCCGGGGACCCGGACAGGACGCAGCGGCACCGTCATGCGCTCCAGAAGCCTTCCCGAGCACCTCCTTTCTGGGCCTCCGGGAGTTCCCAGCACATAACCTCACTCCATGCAGGGCTCTGCGGCGCCCCCAAATCCTGGGGCGGGAGGGACGCAGTTCCCACACTGCGCGGATCAGGACGGACACTGGACGCCAGGTGACACGGGCTTCGGGAGCTGGCCGGGGATCCGCTCTAAGCCGAGCCGGGGGTCGGTGAGCCGCCCTCTCGTCCCTCTGATCTCCCTCGCTCTGCGCTCGCAGCTGCCATTCCCGGCCACTCGCGCTTTGATGAGCTCCTCCCTTACCTACACTCGGCGCACCTGCTCCAAATTCTTTCTCCTTCAGAGTCGAGCACCGCTCCCGCCCCCTCCAGGTGGAGGGTTCACCTGGCGCGCAGGGAGAGGCCTCCCCGGATGCAGCGGCCGGCCGACAGCGTCCTTCCTGCGGCCTGGGGCACGCCTGGCTCTCGGGCCCTTCTCCGGGCCAGCAGTCCAGCGCCAGAGCCGCGCGTCCTCACCCGCCGCGCGGCCGTTCCCGGGACTTCCAGCCCGCCCCGCCCCGCATGCACCTCCTGCACCCGGCACAGGGCCGGGGTGCCGCGCAGCGAGGCCGGCTGGACGTGCAAGGACTGCGGGCTCCCTGGGAGCAAAGGCCCCGCCGCCGGGCCACCCAGGCAGCAGCGTCCCGGGGGCGCCCCTCGCGGGGGCGGGGCGGCGGGAGGAAGGGCGCAGGCCCCAGGCGCTGCCGCTGGAGCCCGGCTGCCCGCCGCGGGGCCGCCCTCGAGGTCCCGCCCCGGAGGCCCGCGCGCAGCCGCCGCCCGCCGCTTACCCTCTGGGGCGACGCGGTCCCGGAGCGCGGGGCCCCGAGGCTGCCGCCGGCCCCGCGGCCTCCAGCCTCGCGCCGGCCCGGGCCCCGCCCCGCGCGCGCGTCACCGGTGGGCGGGGCGGCGCGGGTCAGCGCGCAGGCGCGGCGCGGAGGCGGGTCCCTCCTGCCTGGCCGTGAGGGGGGGGCCCCTGCTGCCACCTTGACCTGACCTTGACCTTGACCAGCCTGCGGCATTCTTAAATTGCCCTTGGGTCCCGCCGCCTCTACGGTTACCTTTAAAAACAGGTAATTGTGTTGCCAATGGGTTTCAGCCCCGGGCAAGTTGGTTAGGGATTCAGTGAGACCGAGAAGGACAGCAGAACGTTCTTGGGGTGAAAGGGTTTATTACCCGGTGTGCTCCCCAGCGGCAGGCCGCGCACCGGCGTCTCGCCTCCGCCCCGAGCGCTGGGCTGCGCTCTCTGTACAGCAGCGGTCATAGCTCACTGCCTGCGGGTGTGAAGCGGTCGCCTAGCAACAGGCCGGTTGCATCATCAGGTGCTGTAAGCTCAGTGAGGATCCCGGCCACGGGAGCCCCAGCTGCTCCGCAGTGACACACGACAGGAAGCCAACCACTGCGGAGCAGGCAGCGCGGCCCGCTGCCCAGGGCGGCAGCCCCTGCTCGGCCCTGCACCCGGCCCGGCCCCGGGAGGGCGTTAGTGGGCCGCACCCACGGCGGCCTAGGCTCGGGTGGAAAGGGCCACACTCCGAAGGCTGAGCCAATAACCGGAGGGGAGGTGGGGGCCACGCAGGCAGGGCCGGGCAGGGCAGCGGAACGTCCTTGGGGTGTGTGGATAAAATAAGAGCTCCTGTGGTCAGGATTCTCACGTGGCCCTGGTTGACCAGCTCACCGCACGCGTGTAGGCAATGCATGGCTGTTGACTCTGTATATAAAGAGCTCCGCCCAGTGCTCTGGGTGACACGGTGGCACAGCTGCAAGGCTGCAGGAGAGCAGAGCAGAGGCTGGAGTGGTGGCAGCACCGAGGACAGAGGCTGAGAGGATGGCTGTGTGGGACTGAGCAGAAAGGCCCGGAGGAAGGCTGTGTGGGATGGCTGTGCGGACAGAGGGGCCCAGAGGCAGAGGACGGGCTTGCTGCATGCGGACTTGCTCTGAGTGAACAGGATTCTAGTGACTGACCTGCCACCTGGAAATAAAGTTGGGTATAACCCTTTCACTCCAAGAAAGTTTTGCTGTCAATTTCTTTGGTCACACCGAATCCATAGCAAACTTGCCTGGGGCTGAAACCCATTGGCAAGACAGGGTGAAAGGGTTCACAGCTGCCTCTGTTCTCCCTGTGGTAGGCTCAGCACTTACAATTACTGTGCCTCCATCAGCCTGCAGGTCTGTAACCCTCCGTCTCTGCCTCCGTCTGCGTGGAGCTCTCTACACAGTGACTCCGTCAGTGACAACTCATTGCCTACTGGTGCGGGAGCAGTAGCCTAGCAGCAGGCCAATTACATCTTCAAGTTTAGGGTCAGAGGAGGGTCCTGTGGGGAACTTCCCTTTCCCCACAGCACACGGGCACATCCTCCTTGTGAGCACCTGTGTGGACGTTGCCCTCCTTTACCAGGTCCAGCTGCTAAGGTTTCGACGACAAAGTGGTGGTGTGGTTGTTCATGCCCTATGTAGCCCATTCCGCCCTGCGTTCCAGATGTTTGCTGTTATGAATAATGCTACAGGATCCCAAGGGCTATGTGCACGAGTGGGTCTATTTGCAGGAAAATTCGTAGAAGAGGAACTGCTGTGGTGAAGGACATGTGTTTCCCTACATTTTATTTTAAATACAGAACATGTGTGGCTGAATTGCTCCTTGAACCCTGTGCTCGTTGACGTGCTCATAGTAATATTCAGTAGTTCCCCCAGGTTTTTACCATCGAGTCTCCAAGCCTTAGGATCATTTCCAATTGTTATAAAATTATATCTCCCATACGATGTTAATTTGCTTTTATTTCGGTATTTTGAATATATTAAAAAATTCATGGAACAGTGATGGCCCTGCTTCTGTCTACCTCACTCACAATCTCTCTCTCACCCTATTTCACTCTTACAGTTTCTAGAATGTGTCAGTTTTACTGACATGGGCTTTTGCATGTGCTGTTTACTGCTGGGAAGGCTCTTCCCCAGGGGCTTTTCTTCGTGAGTCGCTGTGGTCTGAATGTTTGTGTCCACCACAAATTCCTATGTTCAAATCCTAACCCTCAAGGTGATGGTATGGGGAGGTGGGGCCTCCGGGAGGTGAATGGGGTCAGTGCTCTTAGGAAAGAGGCTCCGACAGATCCCTGTCCCTTCTGCCCTGAGGTTCCAGTGCAAAGACGGTGCCCTGAGAAGCTGTTCCTGACCGCACGCTGAACCTGCCAGCCTCCAGAACTGTGAGACAGAAATGTTTGTTATTTATAAGCCATCCAGTTCACAGCAGCCTGAATGGACTGAGACCTAGATTCTTTCTCATCCTTTAAGACTCAGCTCAAATGTCACCTCTTTAGTGTCTACATTTAGTGATTCTGCATTTTCTCCACCCTTTCTGGTATTTATTATCACACCCATCATTATTTATTTGTTGATTTGTTCACTGGCATATTCTCTGCCCCACTACTGAAGGTAAGCTCCACGAAAGCAGGGAAGTGGCTTGTCCCAGTGAGAGCTGCATGCCAGGTGCCTGGCGCTCTGGGTGCGGCAGGTGCCCGAGGCAGACACCGTGGTGCCCATATCCTCTCAGCCCTCCAGCAGTGGTGGGCAGTTCCCGCGAATGCTACTGCGTCCAGCAGCCATTGCTGCCCTTTTTAGGGCTGGCCTGAACTTTGGAAGCCCCGGGGGCAGGCGCAGCTTGGAAGTTTAGGGAGGTCAACCCCGTGACTGACTGGGCCCGAGTGCCTCGCCTTCCCTGCTCCGTGGGGGCAGGACCGAGCTTCAGTTGCCCATGGCGGTAACCAGCTCAGTGTGCCCGGTCCCTTGGGCGGGTTGTCCCTTTCCTTGGCCCCCTCTCCCACATAAACTACTGGCATCTAGTCTCTGGTCTCAGAATGCCTCGGCAAGTATTTGCTGAAGGGGTGGCTGATGCGCTGCGTGCTTCTGCTGTTATCACAGGCCTCCAGAAGCCACAACTCCGTCCTGCCCTGGAAGACCTTGGAGCCAGCAGGCACCTGCCCCGGAAATGCAGGAATAGGAGCGGATGACTGGACGTGGGCTGTAGCTGAAAATGTGCGTCAGGGCTCTGACAGCGGAGGGAGAGGGACTGGCCTGGCTTTTTGTGCAGCAAAAGTTTTAGAAGTAGTTAAGTCGCTAAAGTGCCTCACTTTACCCACTGTGACTATGGACGAGGGGAGGAAGCCCACTGCCATGCCAATACCTGCTTCCGTTTGCCCACCCACTCACACCGGTCCAGGACAGCTGCATTCTGTCCATTATGTGAAGCAGCGGCACGTGGACCCCCCAGCGCCCTGGGAACAGATGCATTGGTGTCCTCCCGGCCATGTCCGGGCCACTCAGACCCCCGGGATTCTCCTGGGGACAGCTTTTGGCCAGAGCCTCCCAGCAGGTGCCAGGGAGGTAGTGCTGCTCGTGGGAGCCGCCCTCGGCCCTCAGTGGCACCCGTGATCTTGCCTTGCCCCCATCCCCCTCCCGTGGGACAACGCCCTGCATGTTCTGCTGTGGAATGGAGCCCCAGCTGCCTAGAGTGGTGCCCCTTTCTTCCCTTCCCTGTCTCACTTTCCCCTCTACTGCGGTGTCCTGGGGTCACCTCCCCAATAAACTACTTGCTTTCAAGTCCTTTCTCAGCATTTGTTTTGGGGAAATTTGACCTAAGACACTCACTGCTCATTGGCCATTTTGATGATAATATCAAATCAGATATCTTAGTCTGGAAGATGCCCTTTATCAGAGAAAGAAAAGTTTCTTCTATTTCTAGTTTTAGTAGTTTTAACAAATCATTAATGAATGTTGAATTTTATTGTGTGCATTTTATTCATCTATTGAGATCATCATATGATCTTCCTCCATGAATTATTATAAATATGATAAACTGAATTCTAATGTTGAATTGTTCCTGATTCCCAACAGAAAGCACATTTTTTTTATATGCTGCTGGGTTTGATTTGCCAACATGGTGTTTTAGGCCCTTTTGTTTCTGTGTTCATGAGAGGGATTAGCTTCAAATTTCCTTTCATATGTTGGATTTGTTTGCATATACTATCAAAGGTATATTAGCATCACAAAGGGAGTTGGAAATTTTGTTTTTTAAATCTTCTAAAAGTGCGTAAGTTTTGAACTTTCTATTACTTGTGTGTTTGAGGGAATGTGCTTGTTTTCTATGTGAAACATTTTAAGCTGCTTATTCCATTTCTAATTGTTCAAGTTTACATTTCATTTTCAGTCAATTTTGATATATTTCTAGTGAACTTTGCTCATTTCACCCAAGTTTGCAACTCTATTGGCGTAGCTTTATCCATATTTTAGTATCTGTAGTTAGAGCCTCTCTTTCATCTTCAGTTTCAAACATTTTCTAATTCCATTATATAATGTTTCTCTGTGCCGTAAGTTATTTACAAATCCCTTTTAAAATTTTTGACTTAATTTTTAAATTAGCCTTTTACTTAGGAAGTTCCCGCTTGCTTGTGTTGTGGTCTAGGGATATAATCTTTGCAATTCCCGTTCTTTGCGATTTATTGAGACTAGCATTGCCACCCCATCGGTGGCTACTTTATGGAAATTTACCGTGAGCATATGGGAAGAATGTGTGTGTTTCAGCTCTTAGGTGAACAGAATGAGATTCTCTTCTATTAGCTCACACTTGTGGGGTGGCACGTTCACCGGGAAAAAGCTAACGTGCTGGAATGACGCCAGCGTCGGTCTGCGGCGACCCGTGATGAGGGCTCCCGGCCGGGCCCCTGCTCTGCAGGCAGCCGTCCCGGGACCCGCTTCCCGGGGCTCTGCCCCCCTCAGCACCCGCTGGCCACGGCCGTCCTCTCGGAAGAGTGTGAACCCAGGAGGGCAGGAGTGTGTTTGCTTGTTCACCCTGGTTCCTCCGGGCAGGGCTCAGCGCCGTGAGCCTTCAGCCAGTGAGCGCAGGAGTCAGTGAATGGAGGAGAAAAGATGGCCCCCGGGGCAACATACCAGGAACAGTGAATCAACAGTTTTTCTTTTCAAACTATACTTCATGTTTTCAATTAGCGATACGTTTTATGGCTCAAAATTTAAAAGCCACAAAATAATATACAGGGATAATTTTCCCAGCCACCCAGTTCCCCTTCCTGGAGGCAACTTCTGTTGACAGCTTGTGTGTATTCTCTAGAGGCATTTCATGTGTATATGATTCCATATGTATACGCACCTAAGCATATGTATCGACTAGTTCCTAGTATCTTTTTCAACCATAATAAAATGGCTCGTCCTCAACCTTACTCCTTTCTGGGGTCCCGTGTCTGAGACCGCGCTTGTTGGGGGGACGAACACTAGGCGGCAGCACGTTACCGGGAGACGGACGCTGCCGGGGCCCCGGGCGTCGGGGGCTCCTTCCAGAAACAAGAGCCGCCGCACAGGGTTGTCCTCCGCACGGCCCCTGACCTCCCGGCGCGTCCGCATACGCGCTGGTAAACGCTACTCACACGTTGATGTTGTGCTGAGTTTATGGAGAAAAACACGGCGTGGGGGTCGCCCCGCCACGCTGCCGGCCGCACGTGGCAGAGGGTGCCCCGCGCAGCCAGAGCCGCAGCAGGCCCTGCCTCCTGCGCGCTGCAGGGTTCCCCGCCTTTCAAAGCTCAGGGGCCCCTCGCCCCGCGCATGCCCCCTGCCCGGGGCGCAGCCGCCCAGGCACCCTCTCCCCGCGGGGCCGCCTCCCCGTTTCTCCTGGTCTTTCCGGTGACCTTCCAGGCCTAGGTGACGGTAGATGTGCACCTAAGTCCCTCTGCTGAAACCCCTCCCCCAGCAAAGGTTGCCTTCCGTATACATCGTTTTGGAGACGCTTTTTATGTAACACTACGCCCCAAAGTAATTCCTTATCAGTGTATGAGGAGAACACTTTAAGCTTTTAAAAACCTGAGCTATACCTTGCACGTGTAACGTGCACAGACCTTAGGTGAGGGGCTGGATGACGTTCCCCGGGTGTTCACACCTGCGTCTCCTCCCGATCTGGAGCGTGTCCCGCTCCCAGCAGGCCCCCCCTGCCCCCACGGTAGCCGCACCTGTGACTCCCAGAGACCAGAGCAGCCCCTTGACGGCTGTGCGGCTGTTCCGAGGCGCGCACGTGGCCTACCTGCCCCGTGCTTCCAGTCTTCGCTGTCACAGACGGCGGCGCTCTCACTGTCCCGGCATGGACGCCCCCTGCTGTCGTCTCACCTTCACAGAAAGCCAGACTCATCCCAGAAGACACATGCAAAGCAGTCTGAAATGGGGCCTCTCTGACCGTCTTCCTCCTGCCATTTCTCTCTCTGTTCTCACAGATTCCTTGCCCTGCTTTGAATGTCTGTTCCTCTTGCGAATCTGCGCTGACCTCGCCTTGCTTTCGCCCTTAAGGTGTCCTTCCGCCTCTCCCACCAGAACAGACACACCCCGAGGGCCTGGACCTGCGACTCAGCCCTTTGCGTTCTCGTGCTTGACACCGTGACTGAGAAATCCAGATCTACTTCAAAATCTGTTGGATAAACAGACTCGTGTGCAAATATATTAGACTGTGTGAGTGTTAGAACTGTGAAATGTGCTCAGGACCATCTGTCTGCTAAACAGCTAAGCAACAGAATTATACGTGGTAGACTGTGCGGAACAGCCCCCACTAGCTCATCTTCAGTCCGTCTTTGCAGGGAGGCTACCCCTGAGACACTCCTGCATAGCCACAGTGTTCACGCAGTCCTGCCACGGGATCTGTGCAAAAACTGAGTTCACCCATGTGCCAAGCGTGGCAGAAACACAACCACAACAAAATTCTTCCTTTTACCTTTCTTTCTGGTCCAAGATACAGCCCTGGATCGCGTCTTAGCATGAAGTCGTCCCTGCCAGTCTTTTTCGGTCCGTAACAGTCCCTCGGCCTGCCTTTGTATTTCGTGACCTTGTCACCGCAGAGAGCACGAGCCGGTTGCTTTGTAGAATAGCACTCAGCCTGGGTCTACCTGTTGTTCCTTCACCATTCAATCCAGATTCTGCATTTCGGGTATAATGCCCAGGAGTGTGTGTTCTCAGTGATTGTGTTGGAAGCCCAGGACGTCTCACAACTGGTGGCGGTAACTATAGTCACTTGGTTGAGGTGGATGTGCTAGGCGTCTTCCCTTTGGTACATACACTCTTCAATTCCTGAGCCTATTGTCATCTTCATTGGAAGTTGAGGAAACTGCGGCACAAAAGCATAAATAATGTACCCAATGGCGGGCTCGTGAGCCAGGGTCCATTCTGGGTCCAGGCAAACCCTCTTAGCTGCCACTCTGGAGGGAGCCCCTTGGGGCTGGAAGATGTCCTGAGCTCGGCCTGTGAGCCCTGGGACATGGGCTACGCCTCGAGACTCCTTGTCAGTGCGCCTGGGCTGGGGCTCGGGGCTCCCCTGGACCCCAGGTCACTTCATGGATGGTCTTAAGGATGGCCGGAAGTGCAGCTTGTTCGGACCTGGCCCTCCTCTGGAGTGCTAGGACTGGGCTGGCTTGAGCTCATCACCCCAAGTGCCCTTTCACCTGCTTTTTAGTTGAAGTGTAATTGGTATACAGTGTTACATTGGTTTCAAGTATTTAACAGTGATTTGGCAGTTATCTACATTCTTAAATGTTCACCCCAATTAGTGTAGTTATTATCTGTGAAAGAACAATATGACAGAACCATTGACTATATTCTCTGTGCTGTACTTTCATCTCTGTGACTAATTTATATGGAGATTTTGTGTCTCTTTATCCCCTTCGCCTATTTCACCCCTGACCCCAGCCCTTCCCTGTGGTAATCACCAGTCTTTTCTCGATGTTTATGAGTCTATTTCTGTTACCTTTTTAGAGATTCCACATATAAGTGAGATTATATGGTACTTGTCTTTCTCTGTCTGGCTTATTTCACCAAGCATAATACCCTCTAGGTCCATCCATATTGTCTCGAATGGCAAGATTTCTTTCTTTTTTATAGCTGAGTAATATTCCATTGTGTATATGTACCACATTTTTGTTATCCATTCATCCATTGATAGATATGTTGGTTGCTTCCATATCTTGGCCATTATAAATAATGTGTCAATAAACATAGGAATGCATATGTCTTTTTTAATCTGGGATTTTGTTTTCTGCAGGGAAATTTCCAAAAATGGAATTGCTGGGTCCTATGGTATTTCTATTTGTAGTTTTTTGAGGAACCTCCATACTGCATTCCACAGTGGCTGCACCAATTTTCATTCCCATCAACAGTGTGGGAGGTTCCCTTTTCTCCACATCCTCACCAACACTTGATGTTTCTTGTCTTTTGGATAGTGGTCATTTTGACTGGGGTGAGGTGACATCTCATTGTGGTTTTTATTTGCATCTCCCTGATGGTTAGTAATGTTGAACACCATTTCATGTTGTCCATTTGTATGTCTTCTTTGGAAAATGTCTATTCAGGTCCTCTGCCCAGTTTTTAATTGGGATATTTTTGGTGTGAGTTCTTTAGATATTTTGGATATTAGCCTTTTGTCAGATATATTGTTTGTGAATGTTTCTCCCATTCAGTAGGTTACCTGCTTGTTTTATTGATTTGCTTTGCTGTGCGGAAGCTTTTTAGTTTTAATGTTGTCCTACTTGTTCATTTTTTATTTTGTCTCCCTTGCCTGG